GGCTGGGATTTAAAGGGATTGAAACCCGTCTTGTCGTAGATTTGATTACATTCCGACAGGACTTGTGTAGAGATGCCAACTTTTTATTTATAGTTACTGCAACTGGGCTGTTTGGCTTTGTATTTATTTATATATTCATTTTCACCCAGGCAAAAGAAAAAAAAAAACTCATCAAGAAGTCGCCATAAGAATATTTTCAACTTTAAGTGATTCGTTTTATAATTGGTTTCTTCTGGGGTTTATTTAGATTTAAAGCTGTCATCCAGGCTCCCTCCCTCTTGTACACAGCACTGAATATTCAGCTGGTGTACTGCAGTACACTGTACTGTATATGCTGCTTGACTGACAGCTGAGACATTTCCAAGCAAAGAATCCGAGCTAAATCCTGACCACAGGACAAGAAACACACTTCCTAATAGCCGAGTGTGTGTGACTGTTAGAAAATGGTTCTGTGGAAAGACGTAACACAGGACACACACACACACACACACACACACACACACAACCACAGACACTGAGTAATGTGCTGTGCTGCAGCCCGTTCGTCCGTTCTCTCCCGTCCTGTCAGGCCATTTAAAGGTCAGAATAAATGTCTTTTATTTATCAGCTCTGAAAGGTTCATTGTATTGTTGGATTGTTGACGTTAAATCACTGCGCGGCCTATCTCTGAAAATGTCTGCCCAAGTTATTTTTTCACTCCCCCCTCACCCACACCTCACCCTTCTCTCCTCGCTCGTTCACGTCCAATCATGTCGTAACGTCGTGTTCCTCGGATGTAAATGCAGCTGTTAACAGCGGTGTAATGTTCTCTCTGTGTCTACATGATGACTGGGTCACACAGCCCTGAGCCACTGACTGTCAGGACACATTTCGCCAACACACACACACACACACACACATAAAATCCCACTACCGGCATCACGTGCAGACTTTTCAGTAAGTCTCTTATTTTATACTTTTTTTATGGAGTAACTTCTATAATAGCCCCCCAGAGCGTGTGGTAGGTAAGTTCAGGTGGAATAGAATGTTGTAAAGCCCATGAGGTAGCAGCAAGTTCAGACTAATATGGAATTATTACAAAAATAACAATAATGTTGATAATAATGTTAGGAGGGAAATGTAGGACATGCAAGAGAAGAGGGCCAAAGGACAGAATAAAATTTAATTAAATTGAAAAGAAAATAAAATTAAAAAATTAAAAATTTGATAACACGTAATAAATAAATTGGGTTATATAAGATGCAAAATAAATACATTTAAAGAACACAGTTTTAAATTCTCTCCTTTACTTTTCCCTGATATTTCCACCTCTACATTTCTTTCTAGTAGTTTGATTTGACTGATTTTTCCCCAGCATCTTCCTCCTCTGCCTTCTTTAAGTTCCTTCCTACTTCCTACTCTGGCTGGACGTTTCTGGCCCTGTGTGAATTTGCTGAAAACATATTACCCAGCAGCCCCTGGGGATTTATTAAAGTGACAGCAGAGTTTATGGGACTCCAGTTAAAGATTGAAGTATAATGGTTCACTAGGAGACACTAGGAGATGGGGTAGTGTGTACCTGTGTCTGCTGGTTGGTAAGAAGCTTCCTGGAATCTCTGTGGCCATGGTGGAGTCGGTGGGAAATGTGAAAAGGTCTGTGAGGAACCGTGCTGTGATCTTCAGCTCTTCATCAGTCTGGACGAGGCTGAAGGAGAGAATAAGGAGAGAGACAGAGATGACAGATCAGCTGCCGGAGATCTTCACAGATGATTTTGACTTGTTGACTTTACACTTTTCCTCAGCAGAGACCTGATTAAGATTTAGTCTGATAATGGTCCCTGAGGGGTCACTTCATTAACACTTCATCCATCACCCTGATGTGGCGCTCATGAGTCGTCTTAACAGGGGGGTGGGATTTTCAGGGGTGAGAAAATGTGCGCAGCTGAACCTCCTGTGGCCAATTTAATCTGTAAACCCAGACAAAAGCAACAACCTTTAGCTACACCCTAGACGTAGTCATTAATAAGTTCTCAATCTGACACTGATCTCCCATTAGACCAGACATGGGCAAACTATGGCCCGTGGGTCAGATATGACGTGCTGGGCTTTCTAATCCAGCCCACCAATGTATGGTAAAGACTGTCCTTTTAATCCTTTGGTTTGATTACAACGAATCGACTATAATTCTTTTGAAAAAGAAATCTTTTGAAAGTATAGGTTTAATAAAATATGTCAGTAAAAGACAAAATGCAGTAAAAAAAAATTCTAACAAAATTAAGAAAAGTGGAATGAAACTTTCTGCATCGTTAACACAACTAACTAAACAGAAAGTGAGCAAAGCTTCAGAGATCTGAAAAATAATGGATTGGGAAAAAAAAAGAACTTGAAAAATAAAGTTTTCTACATGCAAATTTATAAAGGTTCCATTTATATCAAATTATTTATTATTTTTTTATTAAATATGGGTTGTTGATTTTATTAAATGTTAAAAATGAACAGGACCAAAACATAAACTACAGTGGATCATTTTCCTCAACATAGTGGAGCCATTAAACCCATTAAACACACCACACCCATCAGACATTATCCAACTTTTTGGACATTGTTTTGTCTGTCCAACTTCTGCCAAAAAACAGTCTTAAATACATTTTCTACCATGCTTCTTACTGAAGAGCAGTGGTTCCTGGGACCACGTGCGTAAACGACTGCGATGGGAATGCCGCTCCCAGGAGATGCAGGATTACACGAAGGTCATTTATGCAGTAACGCTGGATTAACTCCAGTGTAAGTGATGCCAACGTCAACAAAGCACAATCATATCACTGACATGCTCAGCCGAGCAATTAGCTGAAAGAGTAATGATTGTTCATGTCAATAGTGAGATTAAATAAACAATTTAAAAGACAGGATGATGGAATGAGAACGACAGAGGCCAGGACGGAGCATGGATTTACCAAAGCTCCCCATTGGTTCCCATGTGTTTTTTTTCCACAGTTTAAAATAAAGGTCTTGTAAATGTCTCTTTGCAGTTATACAGAAATCAGACTGTGTTCTTCGAAGCTCGGCCCCTCTTCCTTTCTCTTCCTCCCTCTTTGATCTCCCTCTCTGATTTCCCTCCATCTCTGTTCCCTCAGCATCTCCACAGCCTTGCTCAGGTAGGAACTGTGTTGCCATGGTGATTTCAATCGCTGATTTTGCTGCAGTCCTGTGATGAGGAGGAAGCTGCTGCCAGAGAAATGCATTTATATCTACATCCCCTAACATTTGTAGTAGTCTTCTGTGGTAGTGACTGACTGAGACACTGCTTTGTTTTCAGTTTTCAAGGTTAGACACTACGATTTTAACGCAGAGAGGTCTTCCGCTGAAAAGCCACACCAGTTCTTGGACTTAATTGGTTAATTTTCTAATGGTACCATTTGAAAACTACTGTGCATAAATGTGATGGATATTATTTATATGTCATAAACTAACACACAAAATACACGACTGAGACATTTATAAGTGTATATATGAATATGCATATATATATACATATATAAATAAATATAAACATAAATGCACAAATAAAATATTATTATGGTAAAATTAGGACTTGCTATGCTAATAACCAATATGTTTCACAAAGCAATAATAATAATAATAGAAATGTCAGTGCATATAATAAAATAATATTCCTATTTACATTATAAATGCAATGATGAAATTATAAATGAAGCCTTTTCCTGTTTGTATGAACGTTGAAGACCTGTTTAAACAGCAGTTTTCTACATTCACACAGAGAAGCTACAGCAAAAGGCAGCGGTGGTATTGTCTGATGAACTGTGTCAGAGAACACAGCGGCTGTGGTCTATAAAAAAGATGCCAACCACAAGGACAAAAGGCCACAGAGGTAGAAAATGAAAAAATATCCGGTGGAAAACGGATGTTGAGTGACTCCTGTCAGAGAAGTTCACTTCCTGTTTCAGATTTGATTACCTGTGCTATTCTATCTCTCGTTCAAGTGGAATAAATTCTTGTCGACATGCCGTCACACACAGATTGGATTCCTGACGTTATGGTTCTTTGTTGCTTCGTGACCCTGACTTTCAACATTCACAATGCTAACGGTCAGAGTAGAAACACAGTGGTTCAAGAGAAATGAAATTAAACAGAAGTCAATGGACACTCAGAATACGTAACATGATGTTTTACATAAAAATAATAAACATGTTTGTTAGGGAAGAACTACCACAGACTCACACTGTGTATTTTAAATGAAGAAACCATGTCTAGCATTGAGACAAATTATTGAATCTCTTCAGACTGTGTTGCTATGTGAACAACTAACCTACCATGTCTACCGAAGGCCTTAGGTAAAATAAATAAATAAATAAAAATGAATAAATTAATTAATAAAAAAACATGATTTGTTTTGATTTCACAGGGGTTGTTAATTCGGAGCTGCCTTTGGTAATGAAATACAGCCAATGTTTAATTTTCATGGCTGCATTGTTAATTAAAAAACACAAAAAACTAATCAAAAACAAAAGTAGAACAACAGGCCCTGTTTTCTATTCAGCTAAAAATTCAACAGGGTTTGGTTTCGTGGAGTACTGTAAGTGCTGAGAAAGAATTGTTCTCAACAAAGACTCAAAAAAAAAAAAAAAACCCATAAAAATTAATAAAAAAAAGGAGAAAAAAAAGAAGAAATTGTATCTTTGTATAAAAACCCAGGCGTCACATGGACGTCGCCCGTGTGATGCCGTTGTCCTTTTCTTACCCTCACCCACAAACATTTGAACCCCCACCGCCATTGACAATACCTACCCCAACATCTCCAATTAACCCACACCCCATGTAGTGAAAGTGTCCAGTTGCCATGACAACGCCTTATAGCAGCAGAAACAGCGGCCCATATTTTTCAACCTTCCACAAATCGAAAGAGGATCAATTAGTGATGACGTCATCCCGTTGAGCAGAAAACACTCCAATCTTAATCACGATTCCATCAGAAGCATTTGTCTGAAGGACGCTCTCTCTCTCTCTCTCTCTCTCTCTTACACACACACACATAATTTATACATAATACATTCAGAATATATGCATATGCCTGTATATACATATGTATCATATATACACACCTGCCTATATATTGTATATATATACATATATAAAATATATGCATATATAAATACATACATACATATACACATAATATATAAATAAATATATTAATATATTGTATGTATATAAGCTGCAAGCTGTACTGTAGATAAGGATGAAGTCAGACTTACGGAGCCCGACTCATGGCTACACATGAGCAGCAGGATGAAGAACACACCGACGATAAAATGACTTTTTTTTTACTCTAATAAGTGTGTTTTTCATCTGTTGCTTCTGTTCTTCCGCGCTTGTTCAGATCAGAGATTATTTCACAAACTGTTGTCATACGGTGATCATTACACACCACGTATTGATTGAATTTTAATTGGCCGTGTTGTTACCCGTGTGTTTGGCCTGGTTTCTGAGCAGGTCGACTCTGGTCAATATAGCAAGATTTTTTTTTTGTTTGTTTGTTTGTTTTCTTCAATAGCACAAAACAATCACACCAATACCTAGGGCATCTTTGCATCTCCATTTTACACAAAACATTTGGTCAAAGTCATCTATCTGATCTCCAACCGTCTGAGATCTTACTGGTTTTTTTGCCTTTCACAAAATGGAAAAGCTCTCTGGTTCCTCTAGTCTGAATAAGAAGACCAACACCAGGTGATATTCAACAGAAAACCAGTGGATCAGCGGTTCATCCTGACGTCATTAGACGGACCTCTGCTGTAGGTGAGTCCACCAAGACCAACCTGGTTGGTTTATGAACACAAACGGTGCCATTACAGCCAATTTTAACAGGTTCATTACACGTCACAACCTGAGATTAGTAATTAAACACGCGCACACGCACACATCACATCCGTCTCCTCACAGTGGAGACTTCTTGTGGGATTGGATTATTTAAAATAACGCCTTTAGGTCTCGCATTTATCTGGTCTATCTGGTTTGTGAGTGGAATAGAGAGAGGGAGAGGTAGAGAGAGAGAGAGCGAGGGAGAGGATGGGGGCGGTGGTAGTTGAAATGCTCGGTGCATTCTTGTGTTGAAGGCACAGCGAGCAGCCATCCTCCAGGGCAGCGGAACTAATCCGAACACTTCTGCACTGAAAACTGTCGCTTTTTTTGTTAAATCCAAGAAAGGAATTCTGCAGCTATTAACTTGCATCTGGAATGGAAGTTGCACCAAGGATTTTTGCACCAAACGTGAGGAGCTGATTTGCCCCCCACATCCCCGCTCTCTCCTCCTCTCCCTTCCCTGTGGAGTGGATCAGCGCCGAAGCATCCAGGACGCGGGAGTCGCGTTTGGGCAAAGAAAAAACAAAACAAAACAACTCAACGAAATAACAAACAAACAACGCAGCACATTGGTAAGAGCGATGACTTAAATCTCGCATCACTGCAAAATAAAATTGATTCCATGAAGGTTAGAGGTCACATGGAAGGAAAGAAAGCATCAAAACACAGGGATCTTGCGGCATGTGTCGAGTTCACCATCAGTCGGCGCACTGCGCGCAGTTTAGGCAAAACGGCTACGCACCGTCTGATTTCATATGACATTAATGCACTGCGGAAGAGCAATAGATAGAGTGGAAGGGTTAAAACCTCACCCATGTATAAACGATTCCGGTGATTGTAAGCATTCAACCACATGGATCCATCTGTTAAAACAATCTATGCAGATACTGAAAAATATTATGATAATTCTGTGCTCAGCTCAGCTCTTCCCTTTGCATCTCCTCACAATACCTATCAACAAAATGTAGCTTTTGCATGAACAAAAACGGCAGCACAATGATGCGTTTGCCATTTGGTTTAATGGATCGAAGGCTGCAGAGTCGGGGGCTTGTGGATCTTTGTAAGTAAAAAACAAAACAAAACTCGTTTGTAGGTGACAGCTTTTAGTGACCTTGTAATGTAGCTCAGTGTCCTGGAAACACAATTTTCTGCTTTTAACATGTCCTTCCTGTCTGTGTGAATAGATGGAAAGAGAGAGAAGAGGCGAATGAAAACTAAATGAAAGCTCTCAATTCATGTTCCATGTTCATCCACCCATGCACTGTGTACTTGGTGTCACATGTCTAGAATATTTTTCTTTTAAAGTTATATATATATATATATATATATATATGTGTGTGTGTGTGTGTGTGTGTGTGTGTGTGTATTTCTAAGACTGAAGTTATAATTTAGATTTAAATTATGATTTGGTATGTTGGGCATGTGGCATGTAAAATTCTTTTTTAGACTCCAGTGAAGTGATTTAAGATACAACTTAAAGTCAGGATAATGAAAAAGGTACTGGTACCAGTTGTTGTGTCTGGTCTAAAGTCCTGGTCTGGATGTACAAGTGACCAGAAGTCGGTGCAGAGTCCCTGCAAAAATAGTGTTTGTGTTGTGTTTGTGTAGGACAGTAACTAATATTGTCCTGTTTGAAAAGATAAGATCGGCCCTGGTGTACAGCCATTTGTTGACATTTCTGAATGCTCAGCTGCAGCCTCATTCATACAGAGTGATGAATGAAGGCCATATCCGCCGCAAAATCTGATTCCGGGCCAGAAGGGTGCTATTAGCACCGCTTAGCCAGGAATACAATGATGACAATGATGGCTCGCACTCCATGAGGGAGATGTTTGCAAAAAGGAAACAATTTAATCACATAGAGACTCACTGCACGTAGATATATTTAAATCAGTGGAGGCGAATATGTGCAAATTCTAAAGGAAAGTCCTCCAGGAGATAAACACAGTGTCTCAGTGAGATGCTGCTGCTAAAACCCTAAGACCAAACTGTCCTGAAGGCTGGACGAGGGCTTTTCTGTGTCTGGCAGCTCATTGACATTGACATTTAAATGGTCTGATTAGCCTTGTAGCGCCTCCTGGCTGAAGCAGCAGCAGAGGGAGTGACTGAGAGAGACGGGGAAGACATTAAGCGGTGGGCTCTCAACCCGGCCGTCCATCATGCATGGGCTGAATGACATGTAGTCTCAGCAAATATGAATCCTGACGCAAAGACTACGTCTTAACGTTGGGATAATACGCTGCTGTACGTTAGTGTCATTTACTAACCGGATATAAGAAGGAGAATTTTTTACAAAGCATAAAGTTTTATGCAGATGACTTGACGTGTTGTATGAACATTTGTAAGGTTCACTTGTATCAGATATCATCAGGTATCGAGGTTCTTGTAGTGTGAATTGATTAAAGTCTTTTGCTGAAACGAAAAATTATAAAATTATTTTATATTCTAAGGCGGTAAAAGCAATTATTGATCAGCCCATCTACGCCAACGTTTATTTTGTTGATTTAGAAAAATGTCAGACTGGATTTAAAAATATTGTATGAACTCTGCGTCAGTTATTTGTCAGTTTTGAGAAGTTACTTATTCATCATTACAGTGTGTTCTACTAAATAGGGATTTTTCTAATGTGAAATATGGTTGGGAAATACTGGTTTAAACCAGAACTAAATCCAAGCCTTTTCGGCCGAATATGGAACTTCAGTTGTGTTGAAAATAATTAACTGCTTTTGTGTTACTGAAAGAAATATGGAAAGAACAGTCATGCATTGTGTGGTTTGGACGTTATATAGATTTCTAATGGCCGAGTTCTTCTTGCTCACAGTGTCTCAGCTCGTTCTGAAGCTTTAAAAGGAAACTCATCAGAATGGCTTTTAGTGATTCTCAGGAATCCTGCTGGTCGGGCATTATTTTCTCTCTCTGTACTTCGGTGAGCCAGACAGAAACTGTCATACTGCCAATAGTCAGCAACATTTCCATATCAGTAACATCGGTGCAAATTTGAGCTGGAAGTTGAGATGGTATCAGCGTTTGAAAAACAGAGAGGGAAAAAAGGCAGTAACCGCCATTGGGAAGATGAAAGCAACAGGACCTCACACAAACGAGCATTTGTTTCTAAGACACTGAGTCAGACTCATTGGACTTGGATAGCAAATTTCCCAGGGATTTAGATGCACGTAATGTCCCCCACTTTAGGTCCTTTTGATGTTTAAACATTGAAGGCCTATGACCAAAGGTTATGAAAACAATATTCCCTATTGTAAAAAAAACCAAAAACATAAAACAATCGTGCCTTTTTTCATCCCACAAAGGGGAAAGTGTGAGTCTTTGCATTCCACACAGGCTGCTACAGGAGGCGCCATTGAGTATGTGGTTCCTCTGGGGCTCGAACCCAGAACTTTCTGTGTGTATATACAGTATATATACATACATATACATATATATATGCATACATATACTCTATATATACATATATACATGTGTACATATACATATATATATATTATTTTTCATTCTACTTACTGTTCCATCATCCATACGAATGCCAGAAAGATTAAAGACATGTGGACATTAGGAGGAAGAGAAACATCTTCAGTGTTTTATCTATGTGACTCTGGTAAATTTTAAAGCTGGAAAAGCTGTTGAAGTCTGAGTGGCATCTGGACCCTGGGATCCCAGTGTTTCTTTTCTTTATGTAACCCAAACCTGTGACCTTTAACATGGAAACTGAATGCATTTTAAACATGGTTCAGACATCCCAGGTGGTGAAGGAAACAGTTTCTTTAGTCTGCGATAATTTATTCTCCAAATCTCCAGTGAGGCTGTCGTTCTCCAGTGTCCAGAAACATGTTTGGACGTTCTGACCCACTGCACCTACACAACTCTGACCCGTTAAAATATAGTCTGACCCGCAAAATATAGTACGCTGCTAGATACATAAAGAACACATACAGATAACAAAGACAATGTGTAAAAAGAAAAGAATCAATCAATTTTAACCATTTGTTCACAGGACCTCACTCAAATACTTTGGGGGACAATTTTTCAAGTATAAATTCAGATTTTCAAGCCACAAAATCCAACCATCTTAATGTTTTCTGTGGCTAATAAATATTTGGTTAGCACAAAATGTGGATCAAACATTTAAATGTTATGATGTCCCAACAAAATAAACTCAAGTTTGGAGCCTGCAGTCCGACTTAAAAAAAAGTATTTATCAAATTAAACTGCTTTTTTCTACTGATCATATCATGGCTCTGCTTTAGGAAGAATATGTTACTGGATAGTAAACAGCTAAGACATCTGGACACATATGTGATGTATTGTGGTTTGCATGTTGCTAGGCTACCGAGAGTGTTGCATTCAGGGTCTGGTATTCTGTAGAAAAATCCCTTTTTTCATTTAGAGATGCAGACACCAGAACCAGGTGTAACCCTGGAGCCTCTGTTATGAGTGTGAACCAGCGCAACCACAAACGCTAACAGCATGTCACAGCATCGCCCTCCTGAGGAACGATGGAGTTGGTGGTCCCTGTGGTGGTGGAGTTAAGACACACATTCCCTGACTGATGGAACCTGTTCTGACTCGCCTGTGGTGAACATACAGCGCTTGTGTTGACAATTTATCAAACACTTCACCTAATGTATTTCTGAGAAACATTTTACAGAATATATCTGTGTACATGTATCTGTAATATATGTACAACAGTCAGCAGAGAGATGTGGCTGGTTGATCATTGCGGCCATCAAGTTATTTATATATATATATATATATATATATATATATATATATACACACACACACACAACTGGCCTCTCAAACAAAAATGAAGAAGCCAAACGACTTATCATACAGACTTAACTTAAACCTCTGTAACTTACATTCTAACCCAAAAGACAATATATATAGTGACAAAACATATCCAATCCAGAATGGATATACACATATGTCAACCACAGCCTCAGATCGTATCCAGAAGAACAATCTTCAACCTTCCATTAGACAAAGCTGTTCTTGGTCATCTGAACAACATCCATGTGATAATACTATGTGACGTCCCCACAGCTTTAACCACAATCAAAACACATATAGATTCTTCAAACTCCAAAGCTACATGTCATTAGCAAAGTGAGCTTATTTCCCAGGCACAACAACCAACCGTAATGACTTAAACATTCAGTAAGCAGGCCCTAAAATAAATAATAATAATAATATAAAATAAACATTAAAAACAAAATAAAACTTTTTTTGTGCTGAATTAACTTTAGGCCAATATTCTCTAATTTCATTGGATGCATAACCCATAATAGTTGCTGTTTGGTTGTTTGTTGTGGGATAAAAAGATTAAAATGTATTTTTGGTCAAGAGTTATGAACAAATCCTCAGCTGAATAAATAGTGAAATCATTGCAGTGTGAAGCAGTCCAATATATTTAGTTTTTTTTACCTTTGTTTTACAACAATAAATTAAGCTAACACCAGAAGTCAGAGTTCATGGAAAAACAGTCAGAAAGGCAGTCAAACAAAAAGGAGTGAGGAAGAAAACAACAAACAAATAAACAAATATGCACTATAGCAAACAAACAGTACTTACAGGAGGAGAAACTCCAGAGAAGGAACAGGAAGGAGCAACACTAGTCCAAAGACTAAAGGTAAACAGCAGCTAACAAACTAGCTAAACCCTGTGCACATGACATGGCAGGTCATCACATGACACAAGGGGTAAAACATATGTAGGAACACAAGGAGAGACATTTCAAAATAAAACAGGAATTGGTAAAGTGGAGGGAAAAAAGTCTGGAGTTAAAGCAATGTCAAACTTTAACAATTAAAAAAAAAATATTAATGTGAGATTTAAGAATGATGAACATTAGCTGCAGCTGTGGAACAAGTTGTGCTCCAGCTGTTAAAACTGCTCCAGATGTTCTTCCATCTATTCTTTCATATTTGCTTTAAAGCAAGAGGGGCCTCGGTTTGATGACTAGGCGCATCCCCAGAGAATTGTGGGAAAAAAAGGACATAATGGGAGCGAGAAACCAGGACAGTTTGCATGCTCTCTCTCTTTCTCTCTTTCTCTCTCTCTCTCCTCCTCCATCCCAAAATAATAAAGACTAAGTCATGTCTGTGTATAATAATTCCTGTCATAGTTCCCTGGGTTGAAAATAGTCCAAAGTGACTCAATATGATATTCAGTGGGGATTAGTCAGCCATATTTGATTTCTCTGGTAAAAGAAGCAGTGTAGTTAAAGTGTGTGTGTGGCTAATAAAATGCAGAGAGTGAAGGAAACAGATGAAGGAGGTTTAGGGATTAAGGAGGATTAGATAATCTTGACCATAATCCATGGCTGCTGTCAAAAAACTGAGTGAGATTTGTCCTCAGGGACAGAACACAGCCACTCTGGGAGTAAATGTACCATTTATACTGTAGTCAAGATAGTAAAACTGCATTCTGGGGTGTGGAGTGGCAAATATTTGGCGATATCTGCAATATCAACAGTCATTAGTTTAGCATGAAGAAAAAAAGAAAAAATGCAACATGAAAATGAACCAACGGCATGAATATGAATATTTGACTGTTAATTGTTGTCAATACGGTAAATGAAGTTGTTATCAAAACTAGAGGAACTGGAAATGAGCAACTAAACTTTTTAAACTAGACCATAAAAAACTTGACTAATATTTTCAAACCCAAAGTTGCTTATTATAAGCAAACCTGGCAACATGCCATAAACCAAATTTTGTAGAGTCTCTCCCTAGGGTGTGATTTTTGGGCTGTTGTTGGTTTCACTTCATCCATGTTTCTTCCTCTTCATTGAAACAGACTCATTAATATTTACCCTCCTATTTTGTTTCCTGGTGCGACACATTCATCTCTTTGTTTTCCCCCCCCCCCCCCCCCCCCAGCATAAATATGCACAAATATGTAATGGTGGGTGTAGTACTGGAGGTTGAACATGCTTGTAAGCGCAGGTGTGCGTGGGTGTATGTGTGTCATTTTTTAATTATTTGTGCAAAGCGTCAAACGTTGCACACGCTTACGGTGTTGAACACGAGCACCGCTGAGACTCATTAGACCAGTGATTACAGCCCAGGGGCTGGAGGGGGGAGTGGGGGTGGGGGTAAAGGCCTGAGCAGCAGCTGCATACGTACGTGACTGTGAGAGAGACACAGCTTGGTGCAGATATACTGTATACAGAGAGCAGAGGAATCATTTATTAAATCCTGTCTTAATCAAAATCTGTTTGATCCAGATCTACTGGATAAATTCACAATATTTGCAGGAAAACAACAACCTGAATCTGGAAGACTCATTTATGTGATAGTTATTGATCCGATCTGCCATGGATCGAACTCTATTGTTGACTTAGAATTAACATATTTACTAGGGATGTCCGATATTAACTTTTTGCTGATATTTGATATGCCAGTATTGTTGTAACACTTAATTTCCGATTCCGATATTAACAGATACTGATATAGACCTGATAACATGTATTTATTTATCTGTACAAACCACTGTATGAGGTGCTGGCACCAGCATTCTGCATACAGTCCCCTGAAAGTAGATTAAAAAAATGAGCTTCACTTTCATATACAGCTGTTTTCCCCCAAACTATTAAGTTAGGGCACACATCATTTGACGAAACCCAGGAATTGCATTATTAGGTTTTCATTATTGGTGGAAAAACCGATATACATAAGTATGCTAACATCAGGACGATAATATCAGTCGGCAAATATTATCGGACATCCCTAATATTCACTTAATTCTAGCATTCCCTGATGGAGAGGCTGTGAGGTTTTACTGCTGTTCTGAGTGTTTTACTGCGGATCGTTGTTCAAACTGATTTGTGAAAGATGAGAGTCAGACCTTTAGGGTCAGTGAACAAGGACAGACTAAGGATTACAACCCACAATATGGGCATCTGAAACACAACCAGCCCAGAACTGTCATGACTCAGTACGGTGAGCAGAGACAGGAGCAGAGAAACAGAAAACTGGGAATTCTTGACAAAATAACTCGATTCATGGGGACTCCATCTGTGTGTGTGTGTGTGTGTGTTTGGTAGGGACATGCGAGACACTTGAACTGCCAAAGTCCATAATTGTGATAAAAAAATTCTTTGAATTGATTTTGGACAAGGTGACACCTCAAAACCACGCACACACACACACACACACACCATAACATTCCTCTACAGGAGGTAGCTTTCAGCATCATTTGGACAGAGCAGAATCAATACTACTATCTTTAATACTATGAATAAGTATTATTAAATAAAATGTGGGTTCCTTCAGATTCTGTCAATGGCTAAATAAGAAAAGAAGAAGAACCAGCCTCACTGATCACGGTACATATTCAGACACATGAACAGTTGATACATGTATTCATAGCAGTAGTGTATATTTGACACATTGACAAACAGTGTTGATATATTTTTTTTTCTGCCTCAGCTTTTCCCTTTTGAGTCTTCCCTGATTTCTCCACTTTGTTTTGTTCTTGTTCAACTTGTTTGAGATGAACTTTCATCTGCTGCTGAAAAAACAACTTCATTTGAGCTGTTCAAAACAGGCTACAGTTTAATTGCTTCCACATTTGTCTAAAGCTCAGATTTCAAAATAACATATACTGTAAACAGGCAAACGTTTGGCTGATTTAAAAATATGCCCACACTAATTTCTGATTGGACCATTGAACCACTCGTCTCACATTGGACTGTGGACATGTCTTTGCGGTTGTGGGGAGATGTCAACACACCAGCTTGATAAAATGTATGGTACCAACAAGAATGGGACGGTCAGTGATGACATCAACACAGGAGAAGGAAAACAGCTTTTGACTGTATTCTTTTGAAGAATATTTCCAGCTGCAGACAGGGGGCGTACTGCTGGCTGAACCTGGTTACTTTTGATGGAGGTTGAGTGATTGAAATGCATTTGTACACGGAAAACTTGTTGTCAACAGCCTATCAGGTTATAGCTGCCTAGACACTGGAGCATTATATGAGTTTTAGCGCCACCTAGGTCACTGATCTTGGTTGAACTGTATTTGTTGGAGGGCTAGAATTCTTCTGATAAAAACAATGAAAACAAATTTGTATTTTAGTCTAACATTATCTGATGTTTATTCTGGAATCCAGTCGTGGGCCAGACTGGATGGTTTTGGTGGACCAGATTCGGTCCACGGGCCACTAGTTGGTAATCATTGTAATATACAGTGCAATGGGGGGTGTTCGGAAATGATTGGATTAAACAATGTTAGGTTGTTATTTTATGTGTGACATGTTAGCGTGCTGCTACTAAATCCTTAAAGATAAAAAAGAACAGATCATGAGGCGAAGCCAAATCTAAAGGCATTTTATGGAGACTTTCCAGAAGCTTCTTGTGTCACAGTTGGTCGGACGATTGTCACGTTTGTCTTTTCTCTCTCCAGATGTAAACAGAGAATAAAAAGCACTTTGAGAACATAGACAATGTGAAGCTGCTGTGTTCTCTGTGGAGAAACCATGTAAACATCCTGGCACTCTTTTCTCCAGATCCTGAAGTGAGCACATCAACCACAGCCGGTGTTTATTGGAATCTGTTGACGGAGGAACACAAAATGTCTGCTGCTGTCATCAGCCCACCCCTCTTCACTCTCCTCCTCCTCCTCCTCCAGACCTCGGTGAGTTGATTCACACATTTGTTCTGGTTCTTCTGTCGTTTCTCTGTGAGTCTGAGTGAAAGGAACTGTTTCTGGTTTTGAGGCTGAAACAACAACACAGTCAAAGAGAGTCAGGAACGTGTGCAGCTTCACATGAATGCATTCAATGAAGCTGATTTCCATCCACTTGTACAGTCAGTGTTAGAGTCACCAAGTGTCACTGCATCAATAATTCATCCGTCAGTGTCGATGGATGGAAGAACGGACGGTCGATGATAATCCCTCTTCATTTATTTATTCATTGATTTTTATTCAAACTTCTCTTCTGTCACTTGAATCTGCAACAAGAGAGAAGGTTCTAGTCTAGTCCTCTCCTCTCTTATCAACTAAAATTCTAATCAAATATCCCTGATCTGGAATATCAAATACTTGCAGTTCTAGTACTTATACGTCATATACACCTTCTCCAAACCTGGAGTTGAATTCATGGCCCTGTTCCCCCCCCCCGACCTCTGAGGCTGCATCACTGTAGGCCATGACATGGCGTCCCCCAGGCTGACGCCAGCACAGACACAACGTCACCTCCACCGTAGATCCCCACATACTCTATTGACCTCCCTCCCCCTCCTCCCTGTATTTACCCCACAGTCCCAGCATCCCAGCGAGTTCCTGGGAATAAAAACATCAATAGAAGTGAAATGAAGAGTATATCTCAGGAGTAGCAGAACTGTCCGTGGTTCTGGCTGCCACTGTCATCATTAACAGTTCTCTCTCCCCCGTCTCCGTCACTGTGTGTGTGTTTATTTATTTATTTATTTTTATTTTGATGGCAGTGACGTCTGTAATGTTCCAGTGCACAAAGTGCACACTGGAGGTTTAGAACCATTTCTGCCCTGTTTTTTGGTCACAATCATGTTTGTCCTCTGGGTCAGTAAACAGTGCCGGGAGGGGAGAGGGGGACGAGCAGCTCTGAGACGGTTTGTTTAAATTGTGGGGTGTTTATGACAAAACCCAGAGTTGAGAAAAGCCCCACACCTCCCCTTCACACACACACACACACACACACACACACATACACACACAGTGGTATAAACCTCTGACTAAAGCTAATGAAGACGTCAGAAATTTTTCCATTGACGTATTCCTCTGCTGCTCTCTAGGTTTCCCGCCAACAGGTGCCCTCAAACTGCGTGATCAAATGGGAGCAGGAGAAATGCATGGAGAACATCGCCTCCTACGATCCCGTGGACGACCAAGAGATCGGTGCGTGTTTGTTTAGAATCCTGTTCCTTCATTGGTCGACAGTGTGTTTACAGCTCAGACTAATGGACATGTAAGAACAAAAAAAAATTGAGAACACAACCCAGATAACAAGCAGAACTTCAGGTCTGCGGTGCTAATGAGATGGTTCCACACACTGAGCTGCTTCTCTGTGAATTATTAGAAAGAGATATTGTTAGAAAGACGTCCCGTTTGTCTGGTGTGTGGGATGGTGCTAATGAGTAGCATGGATTAACAAAAAAGGAAAAGAAAAGACAGAGAGAAACCCTACCCTTGTTCTTCTGAAAAATACAATTATAATACTGCACTATATATATGCATGTTATAATATTCAGATTATATTAATGTGACCTAGAGAACAACTACAAACTGAGTCCATGTTTGGACAGTTGAGGTTCATTCACGATGAGATCAGTTCATAATTATGGGATGTCGTCATCACTCAGACCTGCCATTAATGACCGTGAAGTGATTATAACAAGTTTTGGCTCCAGAACAATGACATCTGTGAGTTTGGTGTGTCGATAAACGAGTCAAGCCCCCCACCCCCAGCTATAAACATATAGCTTGTTATATTGAGACACCTGTTGTGTCCTCAGTGTGTCCATGGATGTGGGACAACCTGACGTGCTGGGAGCCGGCCAGGATCGGGGAGGTGGTGGAGGTCAACTGTCCTGAACTCTTCTCTCAGTTCATAAGTGAAGAAGACTACGGTCAGTGTCTGTGGTTCTTGACCTGTGTGTTGTCTTTGAGGTGTTGGTTTGTTGTTTTATGGCTGAATAAACCCCAGTGTTTTCACAGAGGTGGGGAAGGTGAGCCGTAATTGCACTGAGTTCGGCTGGTCGAACACGTTCCCTTCCTACATCGACGCCTGTCTGTACGAGGAAGGAAACGCCAGCCACCCGGTCAGTGCTCCACTGAACCAAATCTGGTTTGGATTAAACCTCATCTGTTCACGTTTACTTTTATTCCCTTATAAAACGGTTACCTTTTATGGCTGTCTGTGGCGGCCAATCAGGCCAGACACATTTACTATGAGTGTATATAGACTCTAAAGCAGTCGGTGGGACGATTCCTAATCCTAATCCTGCCATGCCCAAAGGTTCCAGGTCTCATTCTCATCCTCAGTGGCAAGTTGAGTTGTGATAGAAAGGAATTTGGCATAAAATAGCAGAATGAAATTAGATTAGATTAGATTAGATTAGATTAGATTAGATTAGATTAGATTAGATTAGATTAGATTAGATTAGATTAGATTAGATTAGATTAGATTAGATTAGATTAGATTAGATTAGATTAGATTAGATTAGATTAGATTAGATTGGAATAGATTAGATTAGACTGGATAAAATGAGATTAGATGTTTACGATGGGTTAAAATGTAAATTCTTTCCACATCTCCTGTAAAGTAGTAAAAAAAAAGTAGTAAAAATCTTCTTTTAAATTAATGTGATTGTTTTCAGGGGAGAGATCGTGATTCTCTCCACTTTGTTTCAGAGGAAAATTATTCTATTTCTCTTTGTCTTTGTTGTCCAGGACTTGTACTATGTGTCGGTGAAGGCTCTGTACACTGTGGGCTACAGCACGTCTCTGGTCTCTCTGACTACAGCCATGGTCATCCTCTGCAGGTTTAGGTGGGATACGTGAAACCAAAATTAGATAAGCCCATTAGAAGACGAGAAACAGATACTGTGGGATTTTGCTGTTAGCAAGCAAGCTAAACTGTCCTCCATGGATGAATAGAATACTAACTACAATACTGCTGAAACAATAAAAGAACTACAGAACATTAAAAGTATTGTATTTTCAAGTATTCAATGCCTATGTACACAAAAAACTATTAGCTCTTTTGTAACTAGCTACTGTTAGCTCGACGGCTAGTCAATAGATAAACTTGTACTACTCTAAATTCTGCTCCCATGTGTCCGACACAGGAAGCTGCACTGCACCAGAAACTTCATCCACATGAACCTATTTGTGTCCTTCATGCTGAGAGCCATTTCTGTTTTCATCAAAGACGGCGTGCTGTACGCACAGGAGGACAGCGAGCACTGCTTCATACACACTGTGAGTGACACAAACAGGCCTCTGTACTTCAGCCTGCGGGTATGTACACAGTACAAGTACATCAATCTAACCCTTTCTTCTGCCCTTCCTGTCCCAAAGCTGGAGTGTCGAGCTGTGATGATATTCTTCCACTACTGCGTCCTCTCTAACTACTTCTGGCTGTTCATTGAGGGACTCTACCTCTTTACCTTATTGGTCGAGACCTTCTTCCCTGAGAAGAGATACTTCTACTGGTACATCATCATTGGCTGGGGTGAGACTTTAACTATATACAAGTGCTTTTAAACGCAGGTGTAAATACTAGGGATGTATAATAATATTGGTCGGACGATATTACCATAATTATGTAATATCTCTAAGATTGTTATTGGGTTTTTCTCAAATAATGAAAATCTGATAACACAATGTCTGGGATTTGCAAAATTTGTTGAAATTCAATGAAGGATCCTGAGATGTTCACCTCACATATATACTGCATATCACACATCAAGTAAAAAAAACAAAAACATTAGGCCATGCTCTGTAAAGGTTTAGAGCTGTATTTCAGCACGCACACTCAGGATTAGTCTACAAAAAGTCTAAAAAAAGGGAATAGCCATACTGTAGCTTAAGACCAACTTACTCAACAGTACCAGATTATATAATTGTAGTCCTTGTAATGACTGATTCAAATACTGCTTTCTTTAAATGTTCCACTCAGGAACTCCCACGGTGTGTGTGGTCATCTGGGCCGTGCTGCGGTTACACTTTGATGATATAGGGTGAGTTTCAAACTGTGGAGCGAGGTGTTACGTAAAGAAATGTTTCTAAGAGCTGTTGCTAAACCTTTAAGGTTCCTTCTCTTGTTCTCGCGCTGCAGGTGCTGGGACATGAATGACAATGCTGCCATCTGGTGGGTGATTAAAGGACCAGTGCTGGCCTCCATCATGGTGGGTCATCTACATCAGAAACAGACAGTGGATCATTGCTACCTTTGCATGAACGTAAGATCACAGTGACGTGTTGTCATCTTCACCCACAGATCAACTTTATTCTCTTTATTGGAATCATCGTCATCCTGGTTCAGAAACTACAGTCACCGGATATCGGAGGAAATGAATCCAGTATTTACCTGTGAGTGATGTTTGTTTGTTACATCACAAACTTAGACTACTACAATACTTTATACTAGGAATGATAAAACAATAATTCTGCAATATAACTGCAGTATTTAAAATTATGACATGGTTTAAGGGCATACAACAATTTTGGCAAATCTTGAGGAATTTTATTCAGTAATAAAATTATTTTTAAAATTATTTTAAAATTATCGGTACAAAACATACAGGAGAAATTATCCACCAGAGGGCGACTATGCTCTCAATATAGATAAATACAAAAGTTAGCGCCTCATTTAATTTTTTTAAAGTAGCTGTAGTTATTTAGCCTTTTGAAAATGCATAGAAAATTGCACTCTTAAAAAGTTCACTTTGACCTAGTTGTGACCTAGTTTGATGAAAATAAACACTGCCAACAGGAAACAGGAACTCAAAGACCTCATGATGAAAACAAAATTTGCATCTGAATATTTAACCAGTGTGTGTGGACAATAATCAGGACACATATGCTGTGTGTGTGTGCTGTTATGTAGGAGGTTGGCTCGCTCCACTCTGCTCCTCATTCCACTGTTTGGGATTCACTACACCGTGTTTGCCTTCTCCCCTGAGAATGTCAGCAAGCGAGAACGTCTGGTGTTTGAGCTCGGACTTGGATCCTTCCAGGTGACTGCCCCCTCCCACCCCCCAAATCTACTTAGAACTATTTACACAAAGACCAAACGTACAGAAGTTGACTCCAAATTATGGAAAGGATACAAAAAAAAATGTTTAGTTGTTTTGTTAGATCTCATATTGAAACAACTTTCAATGTTTTCATGTAGGTTAATCAACACATTCTCAGAGACTTGGCTTTGAGTTAATGAGTTTAATTATATATTTTTATAACATTCACATAGGTTTGTTTTCTGACAAATTATCTTTTATTTTATTATATATATATATATATATATCTTCTTTTTTAGAAGTCTTTGTTTCATGTTTATTATCTTAACCTGGTCTTTAATGTTTGTGGATTATTTTAATGGATTTTTGTGTTTGAAATTCCTTTGTTCTCTGTTCTTCAGGGCTTTGTTGTTGCTGTCCTCTACTGCTTTTTGAATGGAGAGGTAAGTTTACTTAAAGAATCATACAACAGTTTTTATTAACTAGAAAAAAACATCGTTAAAATGTGTACACTTCATGGGTGTGATTGTTTTGGTCATTTAGAGTGTGAATAAGACTCATTGAAAACATGACGTTAACCTTTAAAAGAAAGAGAAAATACAAGGTAAATAATTGTGGTTTAGACAAAATATTAATATTTTATGAATTTTTCTGCCAATGGGATAAACTATGATGCTTAAGAACAATACTTAAAAACCAACTGAAATTCAGTAAATGATTGTTGTTGCTCTGCTTTTCTAGAAATACACGATTAGATTATCCTCAAATATTACTTGACCCTAGTGTATTTGAACATTTCCTTATGAGAATATTTGAAATACTGAAACCTATTTTATATTATGACGATCTGTATTGACATGAAAAAAAAAAAGTGAAAACGCTGAGTCTTAGTCACAGCACAGTCAGAGCTGTAGCCAGACTGAGGGGCTCCTTCCAGCGAGGTCCATTAATAATGACCTTGTGAAGTATATCCCTCAAGGTGCAATCGGAGATCAAGAGGAAATGGCGCAGCTGGACGGTGAACAGGTACTTTGCTGTGGACCTGAAGCACCGGCATCCTTCGCTGGCGAGCAGTGGGGTGAACGGGGGCACGCAGCTGTCCATCCTCAGCAAGAGCAGCTCGCAGATCCGCATGTCCAGCCTGCAGGCGGAGACCCCGGCCACCTGAGCCACGGCCCCGCAGCGGACGCCCACCCCGGCAAAACCGACACTTCTACCACCCTCGTCCCCATGACCAGCCTCAACAACCCGTTGCTTAACCCCTACCCCAACCCGTACCCGGACGAAATCATGATGGAAACCCAACTGAACTGCAGCGACCCTGAACAGCCACTAGTCTGACCTGCCTCACCAACAACTACGACCAAACCTGGACATCAGGTGCCAAATGTTGTGTTCCCTTGTTCTGACCTCTGACCTGGCTCGTGTGCACAGCTGCTGAGCAACAGCTAACCCCTCGGAGAGTTAGTTCCTGTAGTTGATTGTCGTCTGCTGAAAACCTGTGTATACAGTACTGTCTTAGTGTTTTCAATTATCTGCTGCTACTGGGCAGCACCGAGGGACCAGTGTGTGTGTGTGTGTGTGTGTGTGTGCGTGTGTGTGTTAATGATCATTCCAGTGTGACATTTCACCCTGACCTCAACACAGAAACTCAGCTTGTAAAGATCGGCCAATCACAGCCAACTTCCTTTTTAAATTTCTGCTCAGCGACCCAGTTTGACTCATGAGTGGTGTCTATACCTGAAAGAGTGAACCTAAAGGGCCACTCCAACTATTTTCCATCTAAACAATAGTGTTTTTTTTATTGCATTGCAGACATGGAACGGTGGGAGGTTTTGTCTGTACAAACCATGCCAAATTTTCAATGCTCATTCCCTACGGCTTTATTTACTCCACACCAGCAGGACGTAGTCTATATCATAAATGTGTTAAACAAGAACTGGACCAGTTCTGTGGGCCAGATGCATATATTCAACTTATGGGCAACATATAAGGGCTTTTTTAGCCAAATTTTCCCATGTGGGTCCCACACACAGTTTTTGTGGGATGCAGTCCAGTCATCATGTCCACATGGACTTTGAAGCATTATGTGGGCCAGATAAGGTTAAACTTTGACCTCGAGCCACACATTAGAACTTTAAGGAGACCCTGCCTTCAGCACTTCAGGAAATTAAATTCAGTATTTACCCCACGTCTTCATTACTACACTGATTAACACTACACCCACAGTGGGCTGCACTTTTTTGCCCCACAGCTGTGGGTCAGGACTGGACTCAGAATAAACACTTTACACCAAAACTTAGATTGGGTTGTTAGTTCCATTAAAAAAAGAGTTGGATTGACCCTTTAATGACGTTGAATCCATTTTATGTTTTAGTGTTGAAATTTTAAAAATTTAAAAACTTGTCTTTAAGGGTGTCGCTGTTTCATCAGTTTCATCAGTCAGACCCACACACTGTCAATGTGTCGTCATCGCCCTCTACTGGCACAAATATTCATTTCCTGTGTAAAATGTGACGGACAGACATGATACAGAACATACTGAAGACTGAGGAGGAATTTTACCCACAACCTGGTAATGCAGTGTTAAAGAGGAGGACGACTTTTCAGAGAAATTTGACGTGTGGCCAAAAGTGAAAAAACCAACAAAAACAAACATACAAACAAACAAACAAAAAACAAACAAACAACAACAACAACAAAAACATACCAGACTCAGAAGTGTCTTCTGTGGATGTTCAGAGCGGACATTTGAAGATGACAACGACGACCACAAAACACAAAACGTTCTTTTCTTCTTTCAAACCTCGGCACTGGACCAAGATGTCAGAGCAGAGCAGACCTCCAGAGACCGGAGTGTCTGTGGATTCAACAGCCGTTAGTACAGAAAATGTCAACGAAAACAAATCTGTGTGACGAGTTCAAGTGCTTGCATGTAACTTGCATTTATCATCGTCGGCGTGTTTCTGGTTTTTAATGAAAGCTTTTAGTTTTATTAAGGGCTGTTGTGGAGGCGTCGCACTGTATTCGATTATTATTTTTTTGTCACTTGTTTAACACGCCTCTTTAACAGCATCCTGCAGGAAACGTTGACATCGATCTGGTCTGAGTGAAGTTTAGACCGCACGAAATACAACAGCACTTATTGTACAGGACAAATTCTGTGTACAATTTTGTGACGAAAACAATCTGGTCATTTATATTCTTGTTGGAAAATTTGTCCCAATTTGCAATGAATGGTCTACCTGTAGTGGCCCACATGCAATGGGTCACATCTTTTAACTAAATTTTTCTGGTAACAGGATATGTATTTAAGTTAAGATCTGGTTAAAAGTTGTGGCCTACACGCTGGACCCCAAATTTATGCCATGAAGCACGTGAGTATTTGGTTCATGTGGGCCATGTGTGACATGTTGTGACAAGTTCTACTGATAAAGTTACTAGTTAATCCAGAGAACTAAACGATATATTTTCATTACATGTCCTGCGTAACTAATTATTTTAACTACAGCAAGTACCCATTAAAATGCATTACTGCCACCTACTGGTCTATTTTCGAAAATGTGCAAATATCGTGCAAAGTGAAAACAAAAGACAAAAAGATGGCAGCACACTTGCATATAAACATGAATTGAAAATAAGAAAATACTTTCAGATACTTCTGGAGGTTTTTTGTAATATTACAGCATACTCTACATTTCAAGAGATTTGGTTCATATTTTCTATTTGACATCTGGACAACTACAAGCTGATGCTCCAGTTCCAAAGATAATTCAAACAGAATCTTGAGTGAGTTTTTGATTTGCGTTACCTTTTGCAAAGGCTACGTGAACTTTGCAGCACGATGTCACTGCACAGTTTTCCCTCTGGTCGGATCCGACAGAACCTCTAGTTCCAGAGAAATGGATTCAGCTTTTGTGTCTCGACTCAAAAGTGCCTTTAAGCACAAACCAAGTATTTTGACTTGAGTTGATGATTTCACACGCAGGACGATTTCCTCTCCTTTTAAAACGAGAACTGCAAAGTAAAGAAAAGGGTTTGACAAAGTGCTTTTATGATGCTAAAGACTAATTCAGCGTTTGAACTCCGAGGCCTTCGCAGTGCTTTTAACTCATCTTTGATAAAAAGAAAAAAAGAAATATGACCAATCAGTGTTTTTAACGAAGCAGTACTACTGTATATTTATTCATTATTTCACTGTACAGCACAGTTCACAGTCACAACAGCTATTATTTTACGTTTTTGTTACATTTATATGTGCACGAAAAAAAGGGAAACTACTGGAGCGTAAAAAAGGATTTCATTTTTTTGTAGTATTTGTGTCGATCTGCTGTAAAATGTCAGACTAGTTTTGGTCAACTAGCACTTTGACTGCCTGAAACTGGAACTGCAAAACTCCAAACCACCAACATCTGAGCGATTTTTTCTTCACAACTCTTTTCTTATGCTACACAGTTGGTGTGGGTGCTTGAAATCCTTAAAAGTGCTTGAATTGTGTTGTCGGGTTGTTAGGGTCCGCAAAGCATTTGTTTTTTTCAAGAAATTAACAAAAAATGGTTAATTTGTTCCAAACGCTACCGTCTGGATGGATTAGGATTTTCGCAGAAATAAAACTCAAACTATTTTATACTGTACTACTATACTACTATACAATATTTGTACTATTTACACTGATGGTGTTAGATGGGACTTTTTCACTTAGGAAGAGGTTTTTGGTTTTTGCTTCACTTGTTCTCCTCCACACCAACACAACATAACATTACTGTCTTTAACAAATATATATATATATATATATATATATATATATATATATGTGTGTGTGTGTGTGTTTATGTATGTATATATACATATATCAAATACCTGTATTATCATCTACTAGACATTTTAATAGGTGAAACAAATATTTTGGAGTGCATTCTTATTGTTTTGAGTAACTTTTTCATTATGTTGTGGTCAATCAAATTATTTTTAGTTTTTTTAGACGCTTTATTATTGTGGGTTTTGTCTCTGCCACTATTTTAATTTTAAGATGTAAAATTAAAAATTAAAAATGGTAATTTTACTTATTAAACTAACAAAGGCCAAGCTGCTAGAGTTGATAAAAAATGTCTTAACATTTTGTGTCAAATTTCATAGACCGGCCGTGTTAACAGACATTAGTTTTCCACGCAGATGTAAAAACTTGTAATCTGAATATTTCTACCATCTGCTGACCTGTGATTTTCCAAACCCAGACCAGACAACGGTAGAAAAGAAAGGGCTGACCGGAAACTGTACAGTAACGTCCTGTTGTCGATCAGATCCAGCTGCAATAATGACGGTGCAGTTCCAACAGCAGCCATGGGGGGACCTGTCTGTGGGGTTAGCGATGGGAGAGACAATCATCGCCTCTGCTCGGACTACATTTATACTTCTTTTTTTTTTTTACTCATCCAGACAATCCTACCAGTTTTCACCAGTGTTATTTATTTTCCTGCTGTTTTTTTAAACTTTTTCCTCCAGTGTTGTAACGACAGTCGCAGCCTTATATTTGCCAGTACTATGTTGATGTCAGACAAAAGTGTTGCAATTATGAATCAGTGTGACTTTGAAGTTGTAACTACTTAGCTGAAGTATTTTTAAAAGGTCTTTGTGACTAAATAAACTACGGTTTAAACGTGTGGAGACGGACACCTGCTGTCCAAACTTGTAAATGACACCTTTCTTCTCCCTGTGGTTTAAAGTAAATAGATGTGTTATTATTATTATTATTATTATATTATTATTATTATTATTTCTACCTTCTGGTGATTGTGTTGGCTGATATTATTAAATCCTCTCCTGTGATGCCGCAGTAAAAGGCAGATGCATGTGTGTTTGATGTAATCTACAAAGCCAGGATGGAGGTGATCGATAAGCTAATACACTGAAACGTGGGGTTTCAACTGTGAATTATTTATTGAACTGTAGCTCAAATACTTCAAATACTTTTCCTTTGAATGTTAATCGTCCTGACAGGAGGAAAAGTAAAGTGCCATAAAACTGCTCCGACATTTTTTTTTCTTCCTCTTTTCCTGTAATTTTATCAATCAATTTCATTTTGTTTTTCTTTCTTTGCTCTTGATCGGTGGTTGTCGTAGCTGCTTCTTCGTGCCGGGCTCATCAGTGTGAACTGATGGCTGAATGTGAATGTACTTTAAAAAGCACTCTGCTGTGTATCTGCTTGGTTTTCTTGAATTGGACACGTTTCAGTGCACCGTTGTGGCATTTCTTCATTTTGGTTCAAATGTGCACAATAGTAAGTATTTTTTTGTATTTCATGGAAGTATTGACAATAAATGTTTATAAACTGTTGTCTCAGCATCAACTTGCCTCACGTGAGTTGTATTTATTTTGTTCTTTTTCTGAATAGTTCCAGGAACAGTCTAAAAAAATGTATATAATTTCATAGTTGACAAAAAGTAAACTATTTGTTGTGACGTGATTTTCTCTTGCTACCACGAGTAAAAATGAGAAAAAAGTATACTGTAAAAGTAGATGGACTTTCTTTCTTTATATGACCTTGAAATAAAATGCACAAAATATTTCGTGACCAAGTGTGGTTTGCATTCAGTGTGAACCTGTAAAAGAAACATTCAGTTCATTTAGTTAAGGGAATTATTCAGTCCCTAAAAAACAACGGTCGCATTCTTTGTTTTTCTCCAAGGACTAAGTGTGTGTGTGTGTTTAATTCACACATTTATTGTGAAACACCAACAGATGTCAAACAGTTTTTCTTTTCTGAGCCGACAAAGACAAAACCACAGATTATTTCCGCATCATTGATTTTTTGTCACACACTTGGGACGGTACAGTCAATGGAACTAATAGAAAAGCACAGAGTGGTTTTTCTACTGTGGTTTAAAGGCACTGTAGTGGTGCACATATACATAGGCCTACATACTCTTACAGTGGTGTGCATCAGTCCTTAACCACCACTATATATATATATATGTATATATATATATATATATATATATATATATACAGTATATTCCCTATAAAACTTCACCTTTCTTACATCTGATGGACATGATCTCAAAGTGACTTTTTCAAGACCTTTAACTGGATCACAAAGTTCTCACATCAAGACTAAGCCGAAGCCTGATCGAAGAGGTAAAAAATTGAAAATGTTTTGCAAATGGGAGATTAAATTGTAGAACGATGTTTTTTGGGTAAACCATACAAACACAGTCAAAGAAACGCAGACCACTGTAGACACAACTGCTAAATATATAATATTAAACACATTGGGAACAAGAGTTGACCTCAGAGAAACAAGCTCTGCATTAGCATTAGCAATAGCAATAGCATTAGCACAGAAATCACTGATGTGGTTCCACCTAATATAAACTGACAATCAATAATATGTTGACTGTAGAATTGAATATTTGCAACACATAAAGGACTAGAACTAAGATTCTTAAAAATATATTAATATTTATACACAACTCTTAGCGTTTTAAGTTATTTTTTAAGTCCTCCATTAAATCCATTATTTATTTATATTTTTAAATAAACTAAATGCAACCCAGGAGTTAAACTGTAACATGGTCATCACATAGTTCAGGTCTTTTTACAGTACATTTAGAAACAGAGGCAAACTACAGTTCAGCAAATAAATGGCGTTTACAGTCTAGTGCTCCAGATGTGCTAGTGCACTGTGCAACATGTGGCACGCAGAGCTGCTGATATCAACATGAGCGTCTGAACATATTTTTGACAACAACAACACTGGATAAAGCGTGTGAGTGAAAGCAGGAGGCCACGACCTCTACTGTCTGCACTGTTAATGACTCCGATTATAGGCGTATTATAGTGCATTCATTTTTATTTGTATTCTATATATGGAAAATTTATTTTTAAATCTTTAAAATTCATTCTTTTTTTATGATTTGCTATTGTTTCCGAAACTTTTTATTGACAAACTCAGTGCTAATTTTAGCTGAAGATTGCTACTTCATCTGTCGGACCACAGCAGCCTCAGGGATAAATAACAAGGCTCATGTCATTTAACTTCCCTTCTCATGTGGGCAGCAGAGAGTCAAGCTTGTATCATGGAAGGGTTTGTGGGAGACACTGAAACGCCTGCAGAAGATTCAATGACACCATTAATGTACACTGTGAGCCCGTCTGACAGACAGAAGTCCTCCAGGACCTGGTACCATTTCTGGTTCCAATCCTTGACATAGGAAACTTCTCTGGAGGCAGGTCATAAATAAATTTAAATTAAAATTTTGACCAGAAGAGTTTTGGAAACGATAACCTTTAAAAGGATGAAAAGTACCTTCACGCTCCACAACGACAGCAGGAGTTAAAACACGGGACTGGAACAGTGGAACAGTTCAGTGAAGCTCACACCGTGGAGATGCTGTTGGGCATCACGGTGTGAGTGAGAACCTGTGTCTCTGAACCTGGCTGGTCTTTGGGGCTGGACTTGTCCAGAACTGAAATCTGAGTGATGGTGCTGCTCTCGGTGAACAGCGTACGCCGTCTCTTGTTGTAGCTTAGGTAGCTCTGAGTCTGCCACACAGTCTGCCACTTCCACAACCTCTTTTTCAGCTCGGCCTGCACCTGGACACAGGCATCACGACAACAACAATGAAAATGAATGATTCAGATAATGAGTATTTAACGAGAGACTTTTTTAAGCCCCGGCACATTTTTAACAAAATCCACGGCACAACATCAGACAAAAACCATTACATATAACGAGCTTTTCATTTCAATTTACTCACAATTATTTATTCAGTGTAAAACCTGAGGCTGTTTAATTAAACACAACCCTGATATACCCGCAGAAATTTAAGAAAGACATGGGCAAAGATATTCTGAAACAGCACTTAGATTTTATAGCCATCTGCTGCCATCTAGTGGAAAATAATCTAACTGTTCTGTCTGCCACTGTCATTGTCATTGAACAAAGACAATATTTGCAGTAAGTACAGGAAACCTGATGATCTACAACATCACAGCTGCTTTATAAGACACAGAATAAATAAAATGAATAATTATTGGATTAAAAAAACAAACCAAACTAAAAGAATGTTGCATTTACTCACCTCTCCATTCAGAAAGCAGTAGAGCAGGGCCACACCAAACCCCTTCAAAAGTAAGACAAATTGAAATAAAAATCTGAATTACGTTAATAAAACGATTGACTTATTTTTTAGTTGTTCTTTTTTGTTTGTTTGTTTTGTGAGTAACATAATTCATTCCACAAATACTTCCCTTAATCCTTACTGTAACTCCCATGAGAACACAATTTTTATCCTAACTTAAAAATACAGTCTAACCAAGTCATCGTTAAAATTATTTTCCCCCAAACATGTCCTCACAAGTATGGATAAACCAGTAAACACTGCAGAAATAACCTAATCATCTGAAACCACGACACCAACTAATTTCATTATTTCACCATCTTCTCCTTTGTTAAAACCCATTATCTTCAGGTTTTAATTAAAAATTTAACAGCAGATTGAAAAGAAATCAAACTAAAGCAGTTTGTTTGACATAATTACTTTGGCAAATTCTTAATGGCATTTAAACAAAAGCGTATTCCCGACCCTCGCACACGGTTTGATTAAAACTAACTGTGGAGCCGTGTGTGATGTCCTACAGATACAGTATCTGTGGCCTGAACGGGTGAGGAGGCCCGGAAACACCTTGGGTCACATGACCGTCCAGTCTTACCTGGAAGGATCCCAGACCCAGCTCTATGAAGAGTCGAACCTCAGCTCCCACGGTCTCTGGCAGGAAGGCGAACAGCATGTAGTGCATCCCAAACAGAGGGATGAGGAGCAGAGTGGACTTGGCCAGACGCCTGTAGACGCAGCAAACATCAGGAACATCAACATCGAACATCAATTTAGGAAATCATCCCTGTGTGTCTAGATGTTTACAATTATTTTATTTTATTTTTGGCTTCTCACTTGAAGTGACTGGTATCGTTGCCGCCGACACCAGGAGACGTCAGCTTCTGGACCAGAATACGGATCACATTGATGAAAATGATGAAATTCACCTGCGACAAATAAAATAATTACAAAATGGTAAGAATGAATAGCTTCTCAATAATTTGTCCACTCAGAGTGACATCATCAACATCGTCAACATCCACCCAGGTCTCGGCTCTACACTCACCAGCAGCGACGCAGTTATCGGAGCTTTAATGATCCACCAGATCAAGGGCTTGTCTGTGTCATCCCAACATCTGAGACACACACATGGCACAGTGATGAGAGACGCGATGCGTCTCCCAGGTACAATATTACACACTTCATCGACAAACATGAGAAGAAGCTGTCCAAAAAAACGTTTTGTTGGATGACATTTTCACTGTTTGTCATTCACGCTCAGCGTTTTCAAACTCACACCTGCAGCTGTGTTTCTGTTGGTAACGTGAATCACCGCTGTACTTCAGCCACAGTGTTGGTGCTCCTGCCTTAAGGCATGTGTCAAACTCACGGCCCGCGGTCCAAATAGGGTCCACACAGTCATTCTTATAATAAAGTCTATGCCTCAGAGTGTCTTGATCTTCCTGACCTTAAACTACTACAACTACAACAACACATTTCATGATGATTAGGGATAGCCGTTTCATTGTGTGCAGTGGTGTGCTGTTTTACAATGACAATACTGTGCACAATACAAATAATAGTTTCTCTTTCACTGTCACTTCAAAACTATTTTTAGGTCACATCATCTGAGCGAAACCCTATCATTGCGGTCATTATCGGAGGAAAAACTTCTTACTGATATTACATAATTGAGCTAATATCGGCCAATAATATCCTTTGGCCGATGCTATCGGACATCCCTAATGATGATGACAGATCTATGATCTACCTGGTATGTTCAAGGACCGGCAGCATCACCTCATCAATTTTATGTCAAACCTGACCTGTCCTCCAGGTTTTCTAGTTACCTTCCTATGAATGTGGGTGTGGCAGGTTGTTTGTCTCTACTGTAGGAGAGGACTCTATGTCCTAACTAATGAACTGAGTGATTAACTAATGAACCCACGACTTCTGGGATTGGCTCCAGCATCCTAACAACCCTTAAAAGGAATAACTTTATAGACCGTATGAATGAATAAATGACTGAACGTCCCTTTAACTGGATGACATCGACTCACCCTCTGTTATCGTAGAAGTTCCGAGTGAGGATCCAGGCTGTAATGATTGTTGTTGGAAGACCTGGAAGACAAAACCAAATGTCATTCAACCACCGGGACGACAGACAAGAGAGAACAGGTGAAGAGCCCATGACTGAAGCAGAACCCACCCCAGCCGATGACGATGTACCACCAGAAGTATTTCTTCTGGAAAACAAAGGTGAGAGCCAGCAGGGTCTGCAGGTACATCCCCTCCACCAGCAGCCAGAAGTAGTTGGCCAGGATGCTGAACTGGAAGAACGCCACGGCCGATTTACAGGCAGCCTGCAGGAGGAGAAACAGCCGGAGCCCGGAGCTCCATTAATGACGATCATCTGGTCACTCACTAATGGTGATGGGGGGGTCGGGTCATTTCGTTGTGCATCTTCTCACATTATTCTTTACAGAACTTTGAGATTTGTCATCAAAATGGAGATGTTATTTCTGTAAACAGCCCCCCCCCCCAAAAAAAAAAAAAAATCATAAAAAAAAAACTATGAGCAAATGTATTATAATCCTGGAAATCATTTTCTGAAGCGCTCACGAAAAAACAACAACACATTAACACAATAGGAGTGTAAAGAAATGAAAGCAGATGAGAGCGAACCTCCCAGACACATAATAAACCACAACTCAACGCAATATTGAAAAAAAAAATCTAATTTGATTGAACACAAGTGTAAAGAAGTAATTTGCAGCAGATCCGTAAGATGAAGACATTTTCTTTGCCTCCTAAAAAGGGTTTTTAAAAAGACCCACGTTTCCAGCAACACGGAGAACACTTTTTTATTTGTACTTTTTTTCTGTGCAATTTAATAAATGAATTTATATGAAACATCTCTATAAGTTTTGAGCACACATTTAAAAATATGTAGTTTTTACACTGATGGTGTTAAATTAAGAATTACAGAAGACAGTGGTGAGGTGTGCAGGCTGATTGGCAGATGGGTTGGAAAAGGAAAAAAAAAGTTATTATTATATTTTTAAGCTCCATGTCTTCAGGTGTAATGGACAGATTAATTAGAATTCAACATTGAGGTGGAGAGACACTCGTCATTAACGTTCTCCACACATCAATCTGACTCTCTGCCACAAATGGTGCTTTTAAGTTCAGTTGCCGAGGAGTCTGAGAGTAAAACTGAATGTTAAAAAAAAAAGAATCTGGACTGAAGAAGTCATTTCACTTTAATAATGTCATTTTTTTCTTTAATCATAAATGAACTCATAAGTTTTAATGGGAGACAGAGGAGGAGGAGAGCACTTCATCTTCCAACTCCTTTCATCTCTGAGTGACTGTGGAATTACATTTTCAAAAATGTTATAATGTTTTTTATAACCTTCATATTAAACATTTTGATGAGCTTTGTCCATATTCCTGTCATTTCCTCTCTGTCCAGTAGTTTCTCACTGAGTGAAGAAATTAGAGCTGTGAAAACAGACAGTGGAAGCTGTGATAACTGGTGATATATAAGATTTTGAATGGATGAATGGATGGATGGCTAGATAGATAGATTTAAAGTGTGAATCAGCACAGGAGTGTATTTACTTGTTATTTTAAGTGAGGCCCGATCACTGTGTGAAAAGACAGCACCTGGTCCGTTCCTTTAAGCCACAGGTCTCCACCCTTTTATTTTTTTCACACTCCAGACCAGTTTTCATGAGACATGATATTCTCACGGTCTGGTCGTCAAGGTGTGGTGATTAAACACAACAACATTTAAATCATACAGATATTAAACAAATATGCCGAGGTAAAACTCAAGCCCAATATCGGTCCAAGACCCAGTGGTTTGGAGCAGGGTAGGGCTTCACCGTTTACATTTAAATTTGATGAGAGTACAGAAATGAACATCAATAAAGACAGAAGGAGCGAGACTCACAGTCGACATGAGGCAGTGGTCCAGGTTTTCATCAGAGAACAGGACCCCATCTTTGATGAAGACGGCGCTGGCTCTCAGGATGAAGGAGAAGAACAGGTTCATGTGGATGTAGTTCCTGGTGCAGTGGAACTTCCTGTTCAGAAGAAGAAAAAAGAGAAAAAAAAACACTTTGTTTTTACTTCCATTACTTATTTCTTAAATCCCCCTTGGAAAGTATCGGTACCAGTATCAGTACCAGGCCTAACATTCCATTATCCAAATGGGAATTTACTGACATGTACTGTAAATACTGCTCCTCAGTTTAAACATCACTTTGTTTACTGTACAGCAGCTCTGTTTACTTTCTGTTCAGCTTCTATCAGCGCCAGATCAAGTTTCAGAAAACACAAATGATATTATATTTGGAAGTAATAGTATCTGTAGTACCCTGGTTTATTCTTCAAATAAGACTTTAAGGCCATTCTACCTGAACACAGTGAAGACAAAGATGGCGGAAATGAGGGAGACCAGGGAGGTGGCGTAGCCAGCGGTGTAGACTTGTCTGAAGTTGGAGAAATATGTTGTCTGAAAAGAAAAAAAAAAAAAACACAAAAATGAGAAAAATGAAAATCACAGTAGTTACACGTTAAATACAGCATAACTTGAACTTCACGGTCCTCTCCAGGACCAGTGAGGTCTGAGAAGGCTTAAGTAATGACAGTTTATATGTTTTTTATTAGAATAAGACAAAAGGTGGGATTTGTCACAGATTTGTTTTGCTGTCGCTCTATAATTCTATAATTTCGCTCTATAATTCTATAATTTCCACCTTTATTCCACATTATGGAATAAAGGTGGAAATTAAACTCCCTACCTTAACACACTTGAAATGCATTTCTTTTTTCTTTTTTTTGATCGCTGGTTTCAGTGAAGCTTATAGAAGTCAATAATAATTGTACAGCTGTTGAACGCAACATCTGATTCAAGTAACGAAGGCACAAATAAGAAAGACAGGCAGCAGTTCACCTCCGTTTCTGTCTCTTCATACTCTGCAAACACACAGGCATTCTCATAATAGGGATAAACCTCAGACCAGCCGTCCTCTGTGCAGTTCCTGAAGACGTGACCTGAAAAGAAAAAAAGCTCAATGAAGATGAAAGAACTGTTGATAGGTTTTCTGCAGTTCCCCCTTTTGGCAGAGAGGTTTATTATTGAGCCTACCTTCCTGCCCAAGTTAAGTTAAAAGTTACAACTGTTATTGTATGAAGATGGAAACCTGAAAACTTACTAGAAAACTTTTTAAAATTAAAAAAATATATATATTCATATATGTAATAACGCATATAAAAATATGTTTATATATTTAAAGATTACACAAAATATAACTCGTGCATGTGCAAAAACCAAAAAAAAAAAAAACAAACAAAAAGACCAAATGACAAACACCGTTAATTGCCTGCAGCATGCGGAAAGAGTAATTACCATAATATAGCTGCCAGATCTATCATCCATCTGTGAACAGGCATCGGTTCTAATTAACCCGCTCGTTTGACTTGAAAGTGAATACAATTAGTCATGACAATAACAATAAATGACTCAGTTCAATCCTCCCTCGTCAGTGCACACTGGCTCCAAATGTGCCGACAGACACACGAGCACAAACGGCTAAATTTCTCAGAAGAGACATAAAGCCACAGGTTTTCATTAGGATCGACAGCTCTGCACTGAGTCCCATCTGTCTGTTAATGACCTCAGCAGCTGGAGACACACTTCCTGGTGAGGTGGACACGTGTCAAACACATGTGAACAGACAGACAGTGACCAGAACCTGGAACTGTTCCTGAAAGATGTCGGGGAGAAATGTAAAGGTCTGGAAATCAATATGTACAGAAGTCTACATCCTCTCATGGAGCCACGACGTGTTCCTGATAACGGGGCCTCAAGATCACCAGCTTCAAAATAAAATTTACTGTATGTTTGGATCATAGTATGTGAAATGGACAGAGACACCGGTTCTAATAGTGAAGCCCAGGAAGTAGACTGGGGATAGACACTCGACAGTAAAATTAAACAGAAGTAGATGGATACAGATTTATTGTTTTCTTTTAAATTTATGACCAAAAAGTGTATGGTCTTTGAGCATAACGTTGGATAAGAGAAACACCATTATCCTTTTTTAATATTCTGCTGTATACGTGCTAGCTGTGCTATGTATAATTATTGCTTCTTCTTTTTTGTGTGTGATGAGCAAACACAGAAATAAAAAATAGTTATTTTGGGCAAAATGCCCTTCAAATAGGGATGTCTGATAATATCAATATTATCGGCCCGATATTAGCATAATTATGGAATATTTGTAAGAATTGTTAACGGTTTTTCCTCCGATAATGAAAACCCGATAACGCAATGCCACCTTTCTCGAAAACTAAAAATAAAGTAAATTTAACTTGGCCAAAAAAAAAAAAAAAAAACTCAAGCAATGTTTTCCTCCCTCCGTGGCCTGAGGTCAGAGTACGAGTGTTGTTTTTAACACAAGGTCGACAGGTTTTCTCCGTGAATCAGTGTTTGGTTGAGGTCAGGATCAGAAGTTTTTAGATATGTGTAAAATGCCCGTCCAGCTCCGCGGAGCAGCAGCAGCAGCAGCAGCAGCAGAGTGTGTGGGGGCTGGAGCTGTAGGTGGATTCAGGCCTGTGTTAGTCCTTCAGAGCCTGCAGGCCTGGAGCTGCTGCATCAGTGGGTGAGGAGCTGGATTTGAGTGAAGGTTGGAGGTTGGGACCCAGGGGAGGGCGCTAGTGTTTGCTCTGCTGCAGTTAACAAGCAGCGTGGATTCTTCCTTCGTGTTTTTGGCTCCCACAGTGATCTCTTTGATTTTCCAATTCTTCCTCTGCATGTAGGATAATGTGGACGTAAACCACACAGCTGTGTCTGCAGCCTGCAGTCTAATAAGGTGTCTGTGGAGGAGGACATCCAGAGGGGGGCAGGAACATTGACTTATGAGGTCATCAGCTGCAAGAACCTGCACCTCCTGGTAAAAACTTTCTCTGAGACGAGGATCTGCTGGGTTTTTTTTCTCCTCTTCTGTGTCCTAGTAGAGATGAGTGAAGTACTCTCTGTATGGGTGAAGTACTCTCTGTATGGGTGAAGTACTCTCTGTATGGGTGAAGTACTCTCTGTCTTCGATCGATAGTAAAAATGTCCACAACTTCAACGTCTTAAAAAATAAAAATAATAACACCTCAAAAAAGCTGATATTGTTTTGACTAAAATATAACTGACCTGTACATGTTTACTGCTAAACACATATGAAACCAGGTATACAGCAGTGCCTCCTGCTGATAAGGTACAAATATTTCCTCTTCTCTTTGTCAAGTGTGGCGTTGTGTTAAATAAAAATAAACAATAAGTAAAATTTAAAATAAGAAAAGACAATTTGAAACAGAATGCTGAGTCTTCACACTGCGGCTAGTTCACGTTCTGCGAGCCCTAGTTTGGAAGCAGATGTAAATCTGGCCTCAGGACAGTGTTTACTGACAACAGCTGCACTGACAGTC